GGATACTCGATCGGGTACCCCTGCGATTTATACCCAAACAACACCCAAAAACACTTCATCTTCTCCAAATATCTCATCCCAACTTCGAACCAACCCCCCAACTCCATTTTTTTACCTTCTCTCTACCATAACTCCCTCATTTCTCCACCAAATCATCCCATTTCACCACCAAAATACTCCCCTCACTCTCCTCTCCATATCTATACCCAAAAATCCCATTTTCCCCAAACTTCCATCAAATCCAAAAAAACCCTACCCCCATTCGAATTTTTGACTCTTTGAGCTCAAGAGCTTCACAAATGGCTCCAAGGAAGAATAGGGGAGAGAGTTCAAACACCATGGCACCTATTCCGGGCTTTGAGGACCTCATTCCCGCCGATAACGAGTACCGGGCTAGACTCCTCTCAACGATTAAAAGGCAAGTAAAACCTTCTCGTTTTCTATGCCACAATGCTCTCCATGAATTGGGTGTGTATAAGAGTATGAAAAAGTTCTTTCATGAGTTGAGTATGGACCGAATTTTCAAAATGAAATACAACTCGAATGAAAGAATTATCTATGAATTCATAAGCTCGGTGCAATTTGAGAGTGATGAGGATGTCTTTAGGGATGATAAACTTAAGTTTCGTTTGTTCAATCAAAATTATTCGATTACAAAACTTGAGTTTGCCGAACATTTTGGCATCCCCGTGCCCTACGAGAGAGCCATCTCGGATACCACCATTTTCGGGCACTCCCTATGGACAAAGATGACCGGGGAAGTGAAATTTAGTTCATCCCAAATGTATATTAGTCATGTCCAACACCCCGTTCTCCGGTTGTTCTTGAAATTATTAGCAAATTGCTTGCTTGGCCGTCCCAACAACCATCACATTAGAATCGGGGACGTGTGTTTGATGTCCGTGGCCTTATTCCGTCGTCACGTGGACTTTAATCTGTGCAATCTCATGTGGGCACATTTGAAAAAAGAAAGCTTAGCAAAAGGGGCCATAGTTGTAGGGGGGGTGATAATGCACTTGGCAAGTAAGTTCGGGTATACGGATAACTCTCCCATACCCGACTATTGCTTGATGGATATGGGTTGGTTAGGACGCTCGGGATATACATTGTTTTCCCATACGGTTTATATTGGAGACCAACCAAAAAACATGTATAATTGGATCATACACCTCCAACCTGTCCAATATTTCCTAATGCCAAGCCAAGACACCCCCAAACTACGCTACAAACCGGAGTTCGAGGAGCCTCACTACCTATTCCCTCACGCCCTCCCACCACATTTTCAAGAGCCTCAAGCCCAAGACCCCCCCGAAAATCAACCCGACCAAGAACCTCAACCCGAGCAACAAGAACCCGAGGATGAACTTCACCGCATGCCCGAACAAAACCAAGCTTTCCCACACCTCGATTACTTCCAACAACTTCTTGAAGGGTTCAACAAAGTCACCAATGAAGTTGGAAAATATCGGGAGGAACAAAGAGCGGGATTTCAAAGACTCGAGGAGCAACGGGCCGAAGACAACCGAAGGTATGAAGAAGATCAACGTAGGTTTTATGGACCTATGTATTCTTACATGGCTCATCAAGGCCAATTCCACACCATGGCTCAACCACCACCACCCCCTCTTGGTATGACCCCACTCAATGGGGTAACTTTGGAGGATCTAGCTCCGGGGGTGGAGGGTATGATGGCGGGGATGGCGGCGATACTCACATGGGCGACGGAGGGTATGGAGGCAGCTTTGGAGGCAGCTACTATGGCGGAGAAGGTGGGCACTAGGGACAGTGCTTCATCTAAGTGTGGGAGAGCAGACTCTTCATGGTATGTAACTTTATTTTTAACCTATATTATGCATGAATTTCTTTTACTCTTTGTAAACCAAAAAAAAAAATATAATAAATAAAAGAAGAGAAATGCTAGTTAGGTTGAAAACCCACAAATGGGCAATCTAAGCGAAAATGGCTTATATAAAAAAAATGAGTGAGTGGGGAGAATGGAAAATGAAAAGAGATGCTAGGATGAAAACCTGAAAAGGCTCCTAGGCAAAATGAGAGATATGAGAGAAATATGTTGTTTTTGCAGGCACTCATTTGATCTCTTTGGAGAATAAGAAGATTCAGAAAGAAGAAGAAGAAGAAGAGAGGAGGAGAAGAGAAGATGAGCACTAGAAGGCCATTAAATCCAAGATGATAGTTGTAATTTGAGCATTAAAACTCATGTTTTATCCTTGGTGGCCTTTGTGTTTTTATCTTGTTAAAATTATTGGAACTCTGGGAAGCTTGACACTTGTGAACATTTGACTTTACTCGAGGACGAGTAAAGAACTAAGTGTGGGGGAGTTGATACGTTTGTAATTTCCGTGTGTTTATTTACGTTTTTAATTAGTTTTGATTGTTTAGTATTTCGGAAATTACACACTTTCGGTGTAATAATGTAGTTTGTTAAATTCTTGTAAATTGTTTAGATTAGGTTTATTCTGAGCTCAAACAGGTCTACCATCACTCAAAGGACAGTTGGTGAACCCCAAAAGTGGAAGGAAGGTGCAAAAATCACAAGACAAAAAGGAAATCCTGATTTTGGTCTATACTCGGTCGAGTATCACATATACTCGATCGGGTATCTGGTTGAAATTTCAAATCGGATCGGATCCGAAAACAAAGGAACATGCAGGAGAAGATTTTCCACGATCGAGTGTCTATACCCGATCGGGTACACCGACATACTCGATCGGGTATAGCTATAAATTATACCCGAATATCGATCGAGTATGGATCGAATTCGAAGTTCTACACATACTCGATCGAGTATATGTACATACTCGATCGAGTACTCGACCTGCACCTCAAAAAGCCTATAAATACACCTCCTTTCCTTCACTTTTAAGGAAATCAATTCCTTTATACTCTTAAGCTCAGTTTAGAATAGAATTTCTCTATATTTCTTTTAGCATGTTTAGTCTCCAAATGAGGAGCTAAACTTCCATTTCTTGGTATTGCTCTTGAAGCTTGTTGATTATTAAAGTTGTGAGTTATTTTCTTAACTTCTTTTCCTTGAATATTAATTCTTCCTTTAAATACTATTTCTATATCAATGTTGGGGAGTATTACTAAGATGACAATTAGTTAACATCTTGACATTGGTCTTAGTAATAGCTATTCCTTCCTCTATGTTAATATCGGGAAGTGTTACTAAGATGACAATTAGTTAACATCTTGATATTAACCATAGTAGGATTCATCTTCTTTAATATTCTTCCTTGAATATTAATTAATCCCTATTCATATTTCATATTAATATTTTGAACATTACTTAAAGGATCAACTAGTTTTGTTCCACATATTAATTATTACTAGAAACGATCAACGAACCAATGGTTAAACGTTGATAGTTTCACAAGTAAGTAACTTCGGTTTATTAATGCACGGTCGTGGTTAATAAACTTAAGAGGGATTAATTTTGTTGGTTAAACCGAAACCATTGTGTTGAGGTTATCAATCTCAATTGATTTCATCAAGGAGTTAAAAGATTAAATGCTACTATCAAGTCGGTATATGGCGTTGTTCTATACTTGACTAATAGTAAGAGTTATTAATGAACGGTTGTTGTTAATAACTATCCTCGATGAATTGGATATACTCCTCGATTGAGTATTCGAGAGGAGATAAGTTATAGATATAACAATGATTGACTAAAATATATCAACAAGTGGAAAGTAGCAATACCAAGTCCCTTTTATCTTTGAATTAAACCACATAACTCGTTCATCTTCGTGTTTAATTTTAAATCAAATCACTCGATCAAAACCCCCCCTTTTTATCTACTAGTTACATAAAAAGAAGAGTTATTCCTTTCCCTGTGGATACGAACTCTACTACGCTATACTACGTATTAGTGCTAGTATTGAATTTATTTTGAGTGCACTCACGACAAAGTGCACGTCAACTGCTAACCGTATATGGTCTTTGACTTTCTTGTACTAGAAAATTATTTTTTTGTATTATGTTTAGTTTAGTTTATAAATGCATTTACACATTCATTGCCTATTTATCATGTAGCTATATTGATCTATTATGTCTTTTATGTATGTATTTTGTAGATTGTTGCATGACAATAATATGTTTTTACTGGTTACAACAACATCATCCAAGCCTTGCTTCGAAAAGGTGTTTTTACCGGTTATTACTAGTAATTTTTATTTTTTATATAAGATAAAGTTTTATATTCATAGAAAAAATAAATATTCATTTCAACTATATCACATACTCCCCGTTCCACTAACAACGGGACAAGAGGGAGTGACACACAAATCTATAAAAAGTGGTGTATGTGGTTGGTAATGAATTGATAAATTAAAAATAGTAAGAATGATTTAGAGTCACACAAACTTTACCAAATAAGGTATGAAACAATCTTAGTGGGACGGACCGAAACGGTAAAATGAGACAATCTTAGCGGGACGGAGGTTGTATATCATATATATTTATGAGCTTTTTCAAACTAGTCACATTAGTGTAAATAAATTAAGATTATACACACTTTTGTTCTAAAAAATTTGGAAAATTATATTTGAAAAAAATATTTAAAGTGTTTTTATTTTTATTAATTTTTATATATTCAATATTTGTGTCATATGAAAGATAATAAAAAGTTATGAGTTTTGATGTTTTTTTGTAATGATCAGAGTATAAATAAAAAAGTTATTTCACTTTTAAGTAGAAATGGGATTTTTATTTTTGTGGGGCCCTATCTCAATTTTCTACGTGTGTTACCTAGTTTGGCCTGCTTGGGCATGCGTTACATGATTTCTCATAAGGCGCCACTTTAAGTGGCGGCTCTTTTAAGTACGATTTAGGGGAGTAATATTTTGGGAAATACTTTTAACTTAACCTCATTTTTTGTTAATATTTTTTAAATTAGTTTTGGGAAAAAACTCTAAAACTTGTATCATCATATCACTAAAAATAAGTTCAAATGAAATACTCCTTCAAACTTTGTTACCCAAAACTATGTTGTACAAGTATAAATTAAGCAAGAACTGTGTTATTGTTGTCACTTTAAGGGATGAATTAAGTATGTAGTAGTATTCCAGTGATCGTATCAATTGCCTAGGGAAGGCTTTTGATATTCCCGTAGCAGAGTTTCATTTCTTCCTCGCAGTAATTTCCAAGTTCACAGCTCGAAAGTCGAAACCGACCACCCCATAAATTCCCTACCCTTCACCCCCATTAAAATTCTTACACTAAATATGAAGAGCAAGAATCACACTATAAAATGCCTTCAAAATCATCACCACTTCTTCTCACTTGTCTCTTTAGTTCACAGCCTCCAAAATATTCAGTAAGTAGCCCGTCACATTACAATAACAAAGCCGCAGAAATTAAACAATGGCGATTGTAGTCAAAGAGCTTGCGATCGACGCACCCATCATCTCGTCCTACAACGACCGCATCCGGCCATTGCTGGACTGTGTTGATAAGCTTCGGCATTTGAAAATAGCCCAGGAGGGGATTCAACTCCCGACCATCGTCGTCGTCGGAGACCAGTCCTCCGGCAAGTCCAGCGTTCTTGAATCTCTCGCCGGAATAAGCCTTCCCCGTGGGCAGGGGATTTGCACCAGAGTCCCTCTTATCATGCGCCTTAAGAACGTACCCAACCTCGCCCAGCCGGAGCTCCACCTTGAGTTCAACGGAAAAGTCGTTCAAACTGACGAAACCAGTGTCGCCGACGATATTGTTCTGGCGACTGATGAAATTGCGGGAAGAGGAAAAGGGATTTCACATACACCATTGACGTTGACTGTGAAGAAGCACGGCGTCCCGGATTTAACGATGGTGGATCTTCCCGGGATCACCAGAGTCCCTGTTCACGGCCAGCCGGAAGATATTTACGAGCAGATTTCAAACATTATAATGGAGTATATTTCTCCACAGGAAAGCATCATTCTGAATGTTCTCTCAGCCAGCGTTGACTTCACAACCTGCGAGTCAATCCGTATGTCCCAGAAAGTTGATAAAACAGGGGAGAGGACACTGGCCGTCGTGACGAAAGCTGACCGGGCACCGGAAGGGCTGCTGGAGAAGGTCACCGCCGACGACGTCAACATCGGTCTCGGCTACGTATGCGTCAGAAACAGAATCGGCGAAGAATCGTATGATGAAGCAAGGATCGAAGAAGCGAGGCTGTTCCAGACCCACCCTTTACTGTCTAGAATTGATAAGTCAATTGTTTCTGTTCCAGTCTTGGCGCAGAAGCTGGTCAGAATACAGGCGACCATAATCTCAAAATGCTTGCCGGAGATCGTTAGGAAGATCAACGACAAGCTGTCAGCGAACATGGCTGATCTCCAAAGCTTGCCCCAAAATCTCTCCTCTGTCGCTGAAGCTTTGACAGCTTTCATGCGGATTATCAGCTCTTCTAAAGAATCTCTGAGAAAGATTCTCATCAGAGGTGAGTTTGAAGAATATCTGTGATGTCTAGGTTCCAGCTCAGGTCTCCACAGGGTTCACCCACAAAGGATGAAAGAACACCACTAGATCACAAGGTGAGGTTGTGGGCAACAACCAACTCACAATTTCCGGCCAACTCAGATTGTTCGAGCACCACAAAGGAGCAGAGGTTCGATTTGGGGAAAAGGATTTTTCTCAGCCAGAAAAAAAACAGTTCGCACAAGAGAAGAGTCGAATATATAGGTGAGGTGCCGAGTATCAGAAATGGTAACTTACCATACAAGGAGATACGCAATGAATTGAAGCATCAACGGAAAGAATCGATCGGCCAAGGGAGATGGGATGCGAACTGTCAACGGGGAAGAGAGAAGGGTCGGGTCGGGTACTCCTTTGGGGTTGTTGGGCTTATGTAATTGTTGGGCCAATACCTAACACAATCTCCACCTTATTGGACCATAGTGGTGTAGAGTCAAAAATGACTCTAAAACAAACATGAGACTCATCATCGCTGGATTGCCCGAATAATCACAAAGACATATTCAGGCAAAAGGGGTAAGATCACCAGGCAACTTATCCGCAATCAATGTTTAACGTGCGTTTGCACGACAGCAACTTTTCGACAGAGAGACATTTAGTCCCCATGTCAGCAGGATTAAATTCCGAAGGAATTTTAATCAACTTGATATGACCTGCACTCACAATATCACGTATAAAATGAAATCTAACATCAATATGCTTAGTTCTATCATGAAAAACAGGGTTTTTACACAATTGAATAGCAGATTGACTATCAGAAAACACACAAATGTCCTGCTTAAGACTATCAATCTCCGTTAGGAGACGTTTAAGCCAAATGGCTTCCTTAAACGCTTCGGTAGCGGCCACATACTCCGACTCAGTGGTGGAAAGGGCTACAATGGGTTGAAGTTGAGACTTCCAACTAATGCACGACCCACAAAGAGTAAACACATAAGAGGTAGTGGATTTCTTATTGTCTCTATCGTTAGCAAAATTCGAATCCACATACCCACTCAACTTAACCCCCTCAGAACACCTAGTGAAAACCAACCCATGATTAACAGTAGATTTCAAGTACCTAAGCAACCACTTAAGAGCATTCCAATGATCTAAACCAGGATTAGACATATACCTACTCAAGCAACTAACAGCATAGGCAATGTCGGGTCTAGTACCCACCATGAGATACATCACGGACCCAATAGCATTGGAATAAGGCACAGATTTCATTTTAGCAATTTCAGGAGCAGTCTTGGGAGACTGATCCTTACTTAACACAAAGTGAGACGCCATCGGGATAGAAACGGGAGTAGCAGAATGCATGTTATATTTACTCAAAATCTTTTCAATGTATGAAATCTGATTGAGAACTAACACACGCTTACTCCTATCCCTAACAATGTTAATCCCTAGGATCCTTTTGGCATCACCTAGGTCTTTCATAGCAAAGTTCTCACTGAGACGCTTTTGCACACATTTAATGGCGTCACCCGAAGGACTAACAATCAACATGTCATCAACATATAGCAATAAAAATACAGGCACAGAAGAAGTATTTTTAAAGTATAGGCAATGGTCGCATTCGGACTTGTGAAATTTCAAAGATGACATGCACTGGTCAAATTTGATATTCCACTGCCTCGGGGACTGCTTCAGGCCGTACAAGGCCTTCCTAAGCAAACACACATGATCACTCTTCATGGGATCCACAAAGCCCTCAGGCTGCGACATATAGATTTTCTTATCTAAATCACCATGCAAGAATGCAGTGGTGACGTCCATTTGCTTCATTTCCCAATCATTATGAGCAACAAGAGCAAGCATCATTCTAATCGTAGTAAATTTAACTACAGGAGCAAAGATTTCAGCATAATCAACACCTTCCTTTTGAGTAAATCCCTTAGCTACTAACCTAGCCTTATATCTAATGTCGTTAGGCTCTTCCTTAACCTTAAACAGCCACTTACAGGCAACAACGGAACTATTGGGCGGTCTAGGAACTAACGTCCAAGTCTTATTCGCTCTAAGTGACTCCATCTCACTTTCCATGGCGCAAAGCCATTTAGCGGACTCATTAGACTTAAGGGCCTCTCTATAGGTTCTAGGTTCGTTAAGCTCAAGGGTCTCAAACACAGAGAAAGCAAACATAGAAGTATCACACATATGGAAAGCATAATCAGGCATACTATCAGCAGTTCTCCTAATTACTCTCCTACTTCTATCTCTAGCAAGTTGATAATCATGCAAATCATTCTCACTAGTATCCGCACTCTCATCATGCGATTCATTGTCATTTGAATGCACATGAGAATGCTCCACCTCACTCGAAGTGGTGGTAGTATCATGCTCAGAAGAATCAGAATCATGCAATTCAGAAGAATTAGAATCATGCAAAACAACATTATCATGATTAGCAGACAAAGGGCTAGCAGCACGTGGTATGGACTCCACCTCAACGGGTGTACTACTAGGATCAGACTCAGAACCAGGAACTGACTTAACCAGACAAGGAAACTCGGATTCATTGAAAACAACGTTTCTACTCACCACAACTTTGAAACCTACTTGGTTCCTATCCCAAACTCTATACCCCTTCACACCCTCGGGATAACCTAGGAAGACTCCTTTCTTAGACCTAGGATCCAACTTGTCACCTTGTTGGTGCACATACGCTGCACACCCAAACACTCTAAGATTAGACAAATCAAGGGGTTTGTTTGAAAAAACAGATTCAGGGCACTTCCCACCCAAGGGAACAGAAGGAGACCGATTAATCAAGTAGACAGCAGTGTTAACTGCTTCACCCCAAAACTTTTTAGACAAACCGGCGGTGGCAAGCATACTCCTAACCTTATCTAGAACAGTCCTATTCATCCTCTCGGCTATCCCATTTTGTTGGGGAGTATAGGGCACAGTTTTGTGCCTTCTAATCCCACAATCAACACACAGTTGGTCCATATCCTTATTGCAAAACTCTAGACCATTATCTGTCCTAAGGGTTTTGACCTTCTTACCAGTTTGATTTTCTACAAGGTTTTTCCACTCCCTAAACTTCACAAAGACATCGGACTTATGCTCAAGGAGACGGACCCACACCTTCCTAGAAAAATCATCAATGATGGACAGAAAATATCTCTTACCCCCGTGGGTAGAGACACTAGCAGGACCCCACACATCAGTGATAAGTCCGTATTTAGACACGCATTTGATGCGTGTCCAGGTCGGATTTTGATGTTTTTCTTGGATTTAAGGCGTTGCAAGTCTCAATTTTGGCTCAAGTTGTGTTTAGCAGGCGTTGGATCAAGTTTCGTTGCATTTGGAGTTGATTTGAAGAAGTTAGAGTCCGGCAATCGGCGCTAAAGAGACAATCGGGAGGAGATAGAGAGCATTCAAGGAAGAATTGAGAGATTTGGAGGTCACCGGGTGATTCACGGCGAAATTTTGATGAAGAAAGAGCATTGGGATCGACCTCGTTTGAATCCGGGCACGTTTGGAGCAAGAAAACGAGAAAACGGAGCGAAAAAGTCAGACGCACGGTCGTGCGTCTGGGACGCACGATCGTGCGTCCATTACTAAACCGCGATGAGGCGTCTGCCTGCTACGCACGATCGTGCGTAGGCAGGGACGCACGATCGTGCGTAGCCCCGTGACACGCGCGAAAAACTCCTTTTTCGGCCCAAACTCGGTTTTTTCCCCTGTTTTCTATAAATAAGGCCTCCCTAACCCTTTTTGGGGGTTACGAACATTACGGAGAGGCCTAGGGACGAATTTAACACCGTTTTTACGCTATTTTCTTCCAAGACCCTGGGATTATTTGTAAGTTCATCTTTTTAATTAATGACAATTTATTCTATTCATCTCAATTCTGTTGATTCTTCAATTATGAATTGTGAGTAGTTTAATTAGGGATTTGGGGTTGATGAAGGGGTTAATCATGATGTATGGCTAGATTCTTGTCGGTTTAATTGCATGAATGCCGTTTAATTTGTGTTTGAATAATTTAATTGATATCTCTTGTAACCTAGACTGCAGCTAGAATTACAATTGCATGTAGAATAAATTAAGAGAGATCTAATTTGTTCTAGGACACATTCACACACACTTAATCGTTCGCTAAGAGATTAGTAGCGATTAAGGGGCCGTAAGCTCGCTCGTCTTGGCAATAATTTAGGATCCTGTCGCATGAGAGATCAGCCTGGTCCCCTAAATTATTGTACTCTATGCCGCGAGAGCGGTAAGAACTTAGTAATGATTAGCTAGGCTCAATTAAATTAAATTCATGTAATTAGGCCTGATCTGTCAGAAATCTGGTTACCCCGGAATCAATCCCTGTTCCCTTCGTCATTAATTGAGAAGAAACCACTTTTATTTTAATCGTTCATTCGCATTAGTTTAATTTTTATTCAACCAACCAATCTCGCACGACGCATTTTTATTTATTTATTTTTAATCGCTGAATTTAGTTAATTCTTAATTCCCTTTTGTCCGTCCCTGTGGAGACGATACTCGTACTTACACCACTATTCTACAATCTTTTCAAGTGCGAGAAAACTCACATCAGTTTTTGGCGCCGTTGCCGGGGACGGTGTCGGATTTAAGGGTTAATTAATTTTAGCGACCTGTTTTTAGTTTTTCGTAGGATTTTTGGTAAGCTAACCTTGCAGGTCAGATCTGTTTATGCATACACGCTCTAAGAAGGGAGAATCACTAGTCCCTCTTAATCCTGAGATCGAGAAGCTAGCTAAGCAGAACCGCAAGGCCTTAAGAGAACAGAAAGCAGCCATGGATCAACCATCCGCATCTGGAATAGCTGGGACGTCTGAGGTCCAAACCACTTCTGGTAATCTGGATTTTTATGTTAATACCTCTCCCCAGTCTTCACAAGAAAATTCACCAAGAGCTTATCCGGGGTATCAAAATCTCCGTACCCCATTCTTCCACCAAAATCAGTCCACTCCACAACTAAATCTTCCACCACTCTATCAGCTCTTTCAAAACACTTCCATTGCTCCCGAAACCACTTTTCAAAACCAAACCTTTGGGATGCAAGGTCTAGGGCAAACCGCTCCAGTCTTTCAGCCCAGACAGAACCAACCGCCATTCACACAAAATCCACCCCCTACTCAACCACAAAATCAGCCTTTCCAACCCCAATATCATCAATTCCATCAAACCCAACCTCAGCCAAATATCATCCGTCCCCAACCCATTCGACCCCAACCAGTTCATCAGCCGAGATATCAAGCTCCTCCTTACCACAACTATGTTCCACATGACAATCCACTCTATCAAGGAGAGAGCATTGCAGACTTCCTAGCCCCCGAGATCACAGAGTATGACAGCATTCAGGTACCGGGGATTACTGCACCCCGTTACGAGATCAAGCCAGCGGTGATCAATATGGTCCTAAATAATCAGTTTGGAGGGAGCCCTACGGAAGATCCAGTGGCACACATTACCAAATTCCTGAGGATGTGCCAGACTTTCAAGATACCTGGGCTAGATGATGATCAGGTACGGATGCTACTATTCCCTTTCTCTTTGAGGGATGACGCGCAGAGGTGGTTGGATAGCAATCCACATCACCACATTCAGACTTGGGACCAGCTGCACAAGGCCTTCATTAAAGAATACTTCCCAACATCAAAGGCCATAAAGTTGAAGAAGCAGCTACAGGAATTCAAGCAAGGTTCTTTGGAGACACTAGC